CTATCTGCCAAAGTGATTGTTTACTTCCAAAGTCCCTGGTACATGTACATAGCAAGAAGTCAAAATAGCTGCTTTAGTCCAGCTGCTTCATATTTTCATAAGAGACGCTTATCTGCTTTTTTTCACTTGAAAATACTCTCACGAGTACCTTACTCCTGAGAATGTTTTGGATAGGTAATTCCGCAGCGTTTAGCAGGTTCGAAAGCAACAAGGCTCCATCTATAGGCTAAGAAATACCGTGCCTTGAAAAGACAAGAGATCCAGTTTTAGGATTTTTTTTGTCAAGATATCTGGCGTCAAAACTTTTTATTTTATCTTCAAAACCTTTACAAGGTTTACCTGCAAATTTTTTAAAAACGAGCACAAGGAAGGTCAGATAGTTGTGCTACAAATACAGGTTAGGATAAGACCTCCAAAAATATTCAGACTGAAAAAATTTCAACGGAAACTTGTGCCGCAATTGTCGGCTGCCATTGAGTACATGAAAAATCTTTGTTCGCAAGCTACTGAGAAACTTTTGTTGCAAAAAAAGCGTTGAGTTAGGACTACTTGTATAAAAATATGCTATTCAGCGTTGTTTACGCTATTTTTTAAGCTCAAAATATAGTAGAAGTATTCTTTGCACAAAAAGAGTAAACACACTATACCCAAGGCTGTCCGCGATGTCGCATTTTGCTTCGTTTCCGAATCAAAAGTCTCGCATTTCAGTGATAATGCTAGTCAATTTCAGAATAGCTTAACAAGTGTTACCTTTCCTGACTTTCTGTCACTATTTAGGTGCTAAATAAAGAAACCACCCTTAATGTATGTTTCGTGACTCACATGATTTTGGTCAGAACCAGAAATAACTTCGATTTTGCAGATGTTTTCCGCGGTAAGCCTGCATCTGCAGAAACCTGCAGACGTCACATACGTCGCATACGGACTCCCATACATACAAACGATACTACCGTTACTTGACTTCTTGCTCATGAGAATATTGCAGAAACAGTTTGAAAGCAGAAATGAGCGCAGCTCCGCGGTTAGATCTACTTCTGGTGCGTTTTGATTATGAAAACTTGAATTTTCTTCCTAGTGCTCACTTTGCTAAGCATCCATGAGAGAGACGGACCACTGTCGCTTCCGAATCAGTTAAAAAACTGCGGACTTGCCTATCCAATCAAATTCTCAGAAATAAAGTACCTATTAAAGTATTTTTAAATGAAAAAAAGCAAATTAGCGCCTCGTCTCTTATGAAGGTATGACGCAACTTGACTAAAGTGAATATTTTGACTTTTCACTATTGACATGCACAAAGGACTTTGGAAGCCAGTAGTTACTTGGTAGATAGAAACTTTAGGTGGACCTATTGTTTATCCAGCCTTCTAGCCTGCTTTTCTCTTATTAATTTTTAATTTCTAATCAAGCGAAAGAGGGTCGGCTCTTGCTAGTGACAGTAGTCTATTAGCACATGGCCCTACCATCAGATTTGAAAAGCAAATGAGTTCCAGCTGAGCAAGCACTTTTCGGGGTGACCCACAGTTATGGCCAGCAATATATTAGCTTCTTTTACCATTGTGCTCTCTTTTTACTTGCTATTTTCTGTATTGTGATACATACATTTACGTGTGCGCACCTACTGCCCATTTTGTAAATAATCAATAATAAATAAATGATACCATGAGGGTCACGTTGTATCAAATGTGTTGGGATTGGGATTATCAGAGATCCATTTCCTTCAACCTCAGTTGACCAGTACTATCGAGATAAGGGAAGTTTGCTTTTTTAAAATGATGCACAAACCAAGACCCGAGCATACCGCATTCGATTTCAGTCGGGACGTGGTTTGACAATACTCTAATCCTTAACACATAACGACAGTGCGCATTTTCAGTTGTCTGCCTTGTGGGACAATGCTTTCCACGAAAAAGTTGAAAATTTTCGGTTAAAATCAGGAGGAGCGTCATCTACAATGAATATGCGGTAATTCGAAGAAGCAGAAAAGAAATGTCGAAGTAATCACTAGAATCAGAGCTTAAGAGAACTTCTGAAACGAAGGCATATAAAAATAGTACTCATTTGACGAAATCTAAGCCATGACCCAATATGTGGGCCATGTGGGTCGCATTGTCCCACGGGGCCATTGCATGACCTACCGTGTGGGTCAGTTGTCATCAATGTGTTAATATCTCTTCGCAAATTTGCTCTAAATGTACAGAAGATAGGAATACCAATCTGCAAAAGCTAGACACATTTTTCATTCGTAGTCTGTAAGTGTTGCATTCAACGAAATCTGGCAAAGTGCCAAATCGTTGGAACTGAAATCGCGGGAAGTATGCCCGAGGCCTGACAAATAGTTTCGCCAGCACTGAAGAAAACGAAGGCATATAGGCACTTCGTAGTAGGTTTTGTCTCATTCCACATCTTTTCAGTTGAGTTGAAACTTGTACGTTCTAAACGATAATAGGCATTATCTCTAGTTACACTACGAAGCTATGCCTGCCGATTCAAAATCTGAATTGAAAAAGTTCAAAAACAAAAATTCGTATTTAGTAGGATTTTGATCACTTCTATAATGAAAGTGAAGAAAACTTCTGTTGACTGAGATGAGCCCACAAAACTTCGAAAACAAATGTATAGTTTTAATCAGAAGCAGTATTTTATGTAAAACATTTTCCTCGTTTAAACTCGTATTGCTCTTCATAGAAATTCATTTTGATGTACTCCAATTTTCCTAAACTCGCTAGCTACTTCAATGATCAAAGAAAACAATTACATAATTTCTCAACTCAATGAAATTCCTGCAAGAAACCGGTTTGTGGGGGTAGGTATAAGTGGAGATGAGTGTGACCACATTTATCATGTCAGGAATTTCTTCATCGTAATGAAACTAACGAGAAGTGATAACTTTGTGGATCTATATTTTTTTGTCGGAAAATGAATCAGATCTGAAGTTTCGAACGCTCTTCGACTTGGTAACACCATATTTCTACATTTTGACTGTATCAAATCTTTAGTGATTATCCCATTCCATGGATGCTGCTAACCATTCATATCACTTTTTTCTCACAACTTTTTTATTCATATTTAAACTTTTCAGAATAATGTTTTATGTTATTACCGGTGTAATCAAGACCATTTTATTTAACCCAGCATCTATACTGTTGATGTAGGTTAAAGTGAATAAAAAGAAACAGACTAAATGAAGAGCAGTTTTGGGTTATTCAAAAAATTTCTGTCTTGAGAGCCTCTTTAACACCCCATAATTCTGTATTTCTTCATAACTTTTTTTAGCTAATTTCAGTGAATACCTATTGAAAGCTAGTGTAAGCTAAAAAAACTCTACAGTTTTCTCATGACTCTCTATTCTGTTACGTATGGATTTACTCACAAATAAACTCCTTATTTACATAGAGTCAAAGTCTTGTTGCAAAGTGATGGTGATAATTATGGGAGAGATGACACTATGTAGTAAGCTTTCCGAGTTTTTTTTTTGACACATTTTTCATTATATTTATAGCTGTAAGACTTAGATCATTCTGAGCGAAAGAACAAATTTATGTTCTTCTTGGACTTGCTGCATCATTTGGACTGCAGTAAATTTATATTTCCAAAGATGGCACATTAACAATACTCAACAAACATAAGCTGCAAAATGCTTAAGTGTACCTTGTTCATCTTCAAAAATTATCTATCCTCGTTACGTCATTTTTAGGGTTCAAAAATTCACATAACCATTACAGCGTTTTTTTGGTGTGTCTAAGGACTGTAAGTGGAAAATTGAAGAGGACTCGAAACCCTTTGAGATTTCGCGCTTTGGTAATTAGCCATCACTTTCTCACGTCATCAGTTAGGCACTAAACAACCATCTATATTTTTATTGTGGAAAATTTTATATAGCACATTATTCCAAGGTGGATAAAAAAATTAGGATAGATCAAGTGAAATCTACAGTGTGCATCAAGTCACAAACATTCCAGCACATGTAAGCCGGGCTGGTATGCTGCCGTTGATAACCATGTGCCGTGCGCGTCTCGTCGGCGCGCCTCAGCACAGCATTCGATTTGTCGTTTTCTGTTTGGATTCCGCTCCCGCTGTCAATTAGCAAGTATGCATTGTCTTCTCCCCGTGGTGCCCCTTTTCTCTTCGGTGCGGTGGGGTGGGGGGAACCGGTTGGTCAGACGCTGACTAGAGAGAGCGTGTCGATAGCGGAGTGTGATCGGTTGTCTCGCTGATAAGGGGTGTGTTAGAGGACGAAGCGAGTGTGAGCTGCACGGAGTGTGTGGAGAGAGAGGTGCCCAGCACAATTGACACACACTGGGACACACTACTTTCTATCAGCATCTGCTTGTTCACGAGTAACGACGTCAGTCCCCGCGGGTGCTTCCTTCCCGCTCCCAAAAACCCTGTCCCACCTTCCCAAAAAAAAGCTGTCCACCTCATCTAGCCCCCTCTGTTCATTCCCATCGACTCCATTCCACTTGCGGCACACTCTCTTATCCCCCTTATCACTATCGATCCATCTCCGCGATCGATAATCCCGGAGTGAGTATTACCGTATCCCCAGAGCGATCATCGATGATATGCGCACCCTCCGAGACGATGCGATCAGTTTGACCTTGACGTAGGCGTGGTCTGTTCGCCCCTCCCACTCCCAGGTGTGTTCATCCGTAATTGGCACACACACACACGCACTCCACTCCACAACACACACAACGCGTCGCTAATGCTACTGTACTCCTTGAGTCGAGTGTGGGACCACATCTCAACCGCCATCTGCTTCTTGGGCCCTGTGGGTCCCGATTGGAATTTTCTGGAATTTTTTGCTGATTCCCGATCGGAAGTTTGGGCGAACTCCTACAGCTCCTGTAACTGGTTTGGTTCTTCTCTTTGGTGATTTGGCTTATATGACTGACATGCATCATAAAGCTAGGTTACCAAAGCTAAGCGCCTGACACTAATTCTTTCTTACTATTTTTTCCTTTTTTTCTATTAATTTTTTCTACAGTATCGCACACATCTTGGACAAGAACATTTTATTGCTCTATCATCAAGTTTTTAGCATTCGAAAGTTCCATTTCCCTTTCAGATCAATGCCAAGGCTCTGTCCAAATCCTTGATCAAATCTTCGGAATTTTCCAGTCCGACACTGCAAAAATCTGCATCATATAGTAAATATTGACAGTGAAGAGATTATAAACAGCTCGAGAAGATTATTTGCTTCTGTTAAGAGTGTGTAAGTGATAATTCTCATTGTGTGTATTTTTATCAAAGTGGGGCGAGGAATTTTGTTTTGTGTACCGTCCACTATCACATGCTATCTTTTGCGCCGATGCAGTCAATGCAGAAATATCGGTCGTAAACACATCTGGATAGGAAAATCTTTTTGTTAAAAAAAATTTGGGGTCGAAAGTGAATGAAAACTTCAGAGATTCCTCCTCTTGTAAAAATGTCTTGTATGCCTTATCAAGGCCAAAAATTACTGATACTTGATATTTATCTGAACTTTACCAACAAAAGGGCCGTATTGATTTTTCTCATTTTTCTCCCGACATTAGTGGAATTTCCACTTGCCAAGAGGTATTGTATGCGGTCGCTTCCTATTCAGGAACGAGTTCCTTCTAATACAACTTGCGAACGTCAACCCAACTTAAAACATTCTCAAACACAAATCTATTATCGACTTTTTAGCGCAAAAAAGTTTACTCTGAACACTGATCAATAATCGATAATTCTGGGCAATTTACAACTTTGCAAGATAGTTTTTCATGCTAATGGGCCCCGAAAATTTGACTTCAGAAAATTTTTTGGCTCCATTTCTTACCTTAGCCTTATCAGTCCTGGTGGGACCATAGGTTCCTTCACTTCCCTTAGAAGTTCCCCTCCATGTGTCATTGAAAGTGGATGCTCAATCAACGACTCTGTCCCACCCAATGATACGGCATGCACGATTAAACGTACTGACTGAATTAAATTTTTTCCCAGCATTCCATTTGGGACAACTCCGCCCACCTCCACAACTTTAATGGCATTTGCAGCTGTTCCAACATCGAAACCAATCATTCCACTCCAGTTTTTCATATATTTCTTTGCAGCCGCATGCGTTGGATGTGATTCAAGCCCAGGATAGCTGACCCGATGTACCTATAGGTAAGGAATGTCAATAGGTATACTTTGTGTGCAATTGCGTATGATGATGCCGTGAATAATTGCCGAAAATGGCCAGAGGTCGGTCGGTTCTTTAGATTTTTATCTCAGTAAACGCTGCACTGAGCACACCGATAGGAGATCGATATCTGAGGTATGGAAAAAGTGTTAGCGAGGGAAAATTTATTTGGATACTTATTGGATTTGATGACTAGCCAAAAAAATTTTTTTTTATAACTTTTACTTCCTTCCCAGGACGGCGTTCGGTGGAGAGTTGAGGTCAAACCTATTCAGTTTAAATTTGCAGTTGAATGACTTTTTCCTTATGATTCCGCCCATTTTTGGCTTCTGATAGAATAAAATAAAATTTTTTTCAAACCTTTGGATGTTTGGCAAGAAAATGCGCTACGGCACTGGCGTTCGACGAGATCTTATCAATACGCAGTGGCAAGGTCTTTAGACCGCGGGCCACCAAAGCGGCGTCGAAAGGTGACTGAAATATTCGGTATGTGTACTGGGTAACCTTACCAGACCCAATCTCCGGGTAAAACACTTACCAAAGCGCTGCCGGTGCTAAATTGTTGCATTTTCAGTCGTTCCCAGTGTTTCATGGATTTTGTCGTGACACATCCAGCAATGACGTCAGTGTGACCTCCGATGTATTTGGAGCTGAAATTTTTCACTTCTTAGGAATTATCCATTTATAGATTTTCAAAAATTGTTATGCATGATTTCGTCTACAGTGTCCCACATCCTTTATCTAATTTTGGAAAACCATTGTGGAAATTTTTTTCTGTGTTTTCTGTGATTTGTTTAGAATCTTTTCAACAGAATTTTTACCACTTGAGACACAATGGCAAGGAAGGACAGCGACAAGGAACTTTTGATTTGAGTTATATCTGGTTTGTAAACAAACTCCAGGTATTTGTTGCGTCAGACGCAAATAAGTGCGCAGAGTCGCGCCTCGTTCAATAGACAAACAGTATTTGCACCCGGCTGCTGAAGACCGGGACCGACTGGAGATTATAAGTAGCTTTTTAGATTCGCAAACACAATGGATGCTCGTTTTCAGTGTATATAGAAAATGCTGTATCCTTCCCTCATTATGTTCTGTGGAACATGACTGACTGGAGAGCCTCAAGGGAGCTAAGGGAGAACTAACGATTTGTTAAGAGATCGTACTTGTTTTGTAAAGATTTTTTGAGAAAGGGGAGAAGTGAAGGAAAAAATATAAGGGTTTGTCGAGATTTAGACACTGACCAGCTATGCATAACAAAATCGGCTCCTAAAACGATGGGCTGCACACAGATTGGTGAAGCAAATGTAGCATCCACAAAACATAACACCTGAAAGGACATGGTCTTATATGGCTTAATTCCATGATTCGCGCCTCCTCAATCCCAGATAAGTATAAAAATATGTTTACCTTGTGCTTCTTTGCCAACTCTATCACCCCGAGTAAATCGGGCATCGCCATCGATGGATTCGCAATCACTTCGACAAAGATCATCTAAAGAATGCTTGGCAATTTTCATTTTGAAACCTTCGTAAGCATCGCAAGCTCTCAGACTTTTGAGCGGCTGAAATCTGTGGTATGGACCCTATTACTTCGCTTTTACATAAACACTACATTATTATCAATTTGAACTATAGGTACCGAAGAGAGGATAACATGTTCAAGAACCAAGATGCGATGGATGAGCTGAATACTCGAGGACCCTTTTGCTATCCTGATGCACAAGAAATTTATTTCTATGCATTCTCTTGCGAAGCTCTAAGAGTTTATCTACTTGTTTGTGCATCATAAAGTTTCAAATGTGTTTGTCTTCTGTGTTTCAAGCCACAAATCCCGCCGAAAACTCAGAAAGCGAAAGTCAAACTAGAAGTTTCCTCTAAATTGTCTTAGCTTAGCATATAAATTTGAAATTATGACTCTCAAAGGAAGTATAAAGTACAGCTTTCAAAAGTCTGCAGCCAATCCACTCTGCATAAAAAATTGTAAGTCGTGAATATACTCATGTTACTCATGTTAGATTGAAATGAGAACAATGTTGTTTCATGGCGAGCAACAAGACGAACGCAAGAAAATGTAAGATGGGTACCTTTCGTTGAAGCGATACAGACTCTAAAAGGGATTTTCTTAACATTAGGACAATTCGTGATTTACGCAATGTTCGTAGCCGAGATACATGAGCAAATTAGAACGCCGAAAATCTTACCCTTGCTCCAAAAATTCCTAAAATTTTACTTGCTTCTGCGCGTAGCAGACACATGCACTCTTCCATATGTATACACTTCTATTTGTTCTTGGATATAATTCAAAAAATGAAAAACGGAAAATAGCAACCTCAGGCCCTAGCAGTCCTGAGTTTCATACGCACATACGGTTTTTCTAAAAAACCCAACTGTTATAAAATTTCAGCCTTGTACGTGATCTATTTCTTGAAAAATATCAATCTTGCCCAAGCCGAAAAAAGCGACATGTCTTTCTTTCCAACCCAATATTGTAATGTTGCATCAGATTTTCAATCATTAAAAAGGACAGAATTTATTGTTTGTGGGTCCCGAAAACCATTTCGAATCTGCCTTTTCTCCCTGCTATTCATATATTCTTGCTTGCGAAATGTATATCGTAAACAATAAGGTTTCCTATCTGCGGCAATTAGATGGGCAACCGGGAATTTCCACCACTCAAGCGACCCAGTACCAGCAAGTACATTTCGTTCTCAGCTCTGCACTTTCTTACCTTCAAAGAAAAACATGAGAACTATGGCGTCGCCTTTGTAGACATATAAAAGTCTTCGCAACGACCCTAAATGGTATTTTATTAGTGCTCACACGCACTGCGACGCCCAATTCGACAATGACCTGTCGCTAGATATCTTGGCACAATGTTCTCAGAATGTCGCGCAAAACTCCAGGGCGCGCTACGGTAATTTCCACTCTCAGAATTGAGTAGCAGATTGATGCACTTGCGGTCATGATAGTGGTGGCGTTCTGCGCAGTTCTGTGCACGGGCAATCTGTCATTTACATTGCCTTGCCGATGATATCTCAGTCACTTGGAATTGTGTAATTGATTGTCGATGATACGATCATTACTGTCCTTGACCCCCGCCCCCACTCACATTCGCCCACTCCCTCTGAATACATCCTGAGATATTCAACAGTGTTAAAGTAAATTCATCAAGAAAGCTTCCCGTTCTCACTTAGTACGAAAAATCCAAAAAAGACTATAAGAGCCTATAAGATCTCAATCTCCCGTGCCACAGTAAAAGTAGCATGTAGTAAATCATGTCCGCGGAATGCACCTAAATCAAGATGCCAATCTGATAGGCATCATCTCCGAGCCATCGGCAAGTTATAGGTGCTGCCAAGATTATCTGGGAACACATAAAGGAGGGAAGGGGGGGGGGGGGGGAAGGAATGGGGAGACAGAGTGCGTGCAATTCTTCGCATATCTTAAATGTTCGCAACCCATACGAAGTTTACTGCAGTAGTTATGTACCTATTAATTTCATACATGCATTCAACCTTGAAAGAAAAGCTCTGCACAAAAAATCATTCATTTGTACTCTTTTGCAAAAGCTCATACTATTCGCCCTTTTCTTTTGGGGTAGAGTTAGAGTAATGGGTTATAACAAAAGTTTTTCACCGAAAGTTTTGAGAACTTATAAGTTTCTGTATATTGATCTATCCGAATAATAAAGGATTGGAAGAGGGAATCATAAGCTTTCTAACAGTGCTCAGAAAAGATTGTAAGCACAGAGTGGAGTTGAGGGTCGATGAAAAACTATCAAACTCAATTTTTTTGACTTGAAATGCTAGAAAATCTGGCAGCTTCCAATTTTATCCATTGTGTTTTATGACTCACCCTTTCACGCTAAGTTGAAGAGTGATGATCAAATGACTGTAAGAAGACTCGTTATGAGAAATATTTTCTAAGAAGCACCATAAAGTACTGCACATATGCTTACAACGAACAAAATGTTATGCAGAATGAAAAGTTTGCCTAAGCATTTTTTGAACTGAATTTATGGATTTCGATGCAGACTTATGTTGCAACTTGATAAATGAAATATCAAGACTGTGCCACGAATGTGGCGCCATCTGTCCAATGCCTTCTTTATGTGAAAAAATTTTGTTCACCACCCGGATGATGAGAGGTTCAAAATTAGCAAAAAAGTCTGAGATGCGGTTTGACATGACTTCATCCAACTATGTAACTGTAATCCAACCAAACAACTTCAAAACCAGTAGTAGTCACATAGAAAATGCTGACAAACCGAAGAAAAAATATAAAAATATATTCACCTCTTGTTTGGTAAGTTTATTCGTACAATGTGGAAGTCTACACAATTTCCTCGAAGCGATACTGGACATGGAAGAATAAACCAAAAATTGTTATTATGACAAACGAGCTTATATGAAACGGTCGAAGCAAAGTGTAGAGGATTTCTGCCTATATAGTACGCTCAGCTGCAAAATTGAAACTAAACTTTCCGTTTATTAGGTGACTTCTATAATTTCATGGTCCCTCTTGAAGTGAATCACCACCCATCAAAGATGTTAGCTTTTAAGTCCTAGTCTCTACGCATACACTATGCAACCAAACAAAATTCAAACGGTACATGCACTTGTTGTTATTATCTCGCTCCATTTACGATCGGTGACAGGCCATAGCTAAAATAGATTCTCGGTATCTCATTGCGTAATTGGCGGCCTTGCTATCCCCTTTACAGTCTCCGCATTTTCTCATGTTGAGATTAGACCACCGACTTAGTCTACTACTTGTCATTGTCATAGAAGAAATGAGAAATTCTATCGAGGCTTTTGGAAAAAAAAAGCAGTTTTGCGGAGGTATTTGAGAAAAATTAACAGGTTCAAAATGAACAAATTTTCCTAATCATAAGCAAAAAAAATGATTTTGATTAGAACACTTCAAAGTGTGAAAACTCCTATTTAGAGGGACAAATTTGTAACTCATGTGCCTAAGATGTTTTTTGAAAATATAAAAATGCCATGAGTAAGTTCAAAACAAAATAAGAATGACATTAATCACTCTTAGGGTTAAATGCAAATCCTTGAAAACCTCCGCCTCCGGTCAAGAATAAGTCGCGAAGATTTTGGGAGCTACTTATATAAGTTATAAAGTTATGCAAGTATTGTTAGTTGTGTCAAAATAAGACACAAAATTTTAAGAAAATTTAATTTGCTCTAAAAAAAACTGGGCGTGGCTATCACCCGCAAACGTTTCAAATTTTGAAGAGCATGACCAACCCCATCATTCCATTCGAATGAATTTTTGTTGTTCCTTTCTCCTAAAAAAATTTCTCGGACCACAAACGCATCAGCATGTGTAAACATATGCAATCAACAGCTCAAAAAGCTCTGGACTGATAGGTGTATGCAAAAAGTGTTAAAAAAACAGAGCATGCTGAATTTTTGCTTATTGTTGCAGAAAAATGGCCATGAAAGTCCGATTTGCATCAACGGCCATTTTACGCGAAGATGTTGTCGGTACCGCAATGGCACTGTATGGAGCGTTATACAAGACTACAGCATCCAGCTCACCTTTGTATTTTTCTTCATAGCTGCTTGCATAGCTCCAAGGAAGTCCTTCTCCCTATCGATGTCAACAAAATCAGCACTGACACCGAAACGAACCAGCGTTTCCGTTATGAACGAGTAGGATCCGCTGTACATTGGCTTCATGCACACCTGTAATGATTATAGATACAGTAATGCGTGAAAAATGTTCTTCTTACTTACCAGATGATCTCCACCATTCAGAAACTCGAGCAATACAGCCGAACATGCTGCAAGTCCCGAATTGTAGAGCAAAGTGGCAGCACCCTGCTCGAGCTCTTTGATGATCACTTCGACATTGTCCGTGGTGGGATTGCCACATCGTTGATAGACATAGTTAGATCCCTGCAAAACACAAAAGAGTTTGAAATAGAATTTGTCTGTGCATATCGTAGGTACCATTGACTATTGACTCTTCTGTTTGTTTTGATTAGAAAGCTACCAAAGTTTTAAAGAGATTCCATGAACGCAGTCAGTGCAACGTTTTCATCTCAGGAACCTTTACTTTTTTGCGAACACTGTGCATTGTCTCATGATAAACAAAAAACGTTCACAACACTATCAACTTTTGACTCTTAAACCCACAGCGTTTTAATGTTGTCAAATATGTAATCCACAGATGAACCATGTCATCCGATGCTTTCAAATAAATCTAAGAGTTAGCTAACAATAAGTGAAGTGGAGCGAAACTTCAGTAGCTAAACTAGTGAATCTGGTCGAGATGAAATCTCCTTACAGTTTCAGTATAGGACTACAGCGTTCACAAAACATGTACATCAAAGATCCAGTTCGTAAGAGACTTTTTATTTTGTAGCAGAATGAGACTGTGTATATGCTTTTCAAGCAAGAGCAAAAAATCCATAATTCATTGTATAAGACAGTAAGTTGTGTGAATTTTCCTTCCTTAATGATAAAGAGGCTTTTCAGCACTTTTCAGCACTTGTTAGTTTTGATAAAATAATCACAAACAACTTTTTCCTTAGTGAGCTGTGCTAGATGAAATGTCATGTCAAAACTTTTCAAGTTTTCTGTTGGCGGCTCATCTTATCTGCGAGGATCATCCTACCTTAACCAAGGGAATTTTTTCAGAGTGGCTATGGTACACCTTCGATGTCGATAGGTTAAACTCATATCTGTCGGAAAAAAGAGAAAGAGGAAGGTATCGTTTGGAATTGGTGTATGCATGACAATGCTTAGATAAATAATTCATAACGAAATTGGTTTAGCAGAACGTCGTGAAGATGGGTTCCCTATTTGCCAATCTTTTCCTTCGCTTACTCCGAGGAACAACTTAAGTGGATAGGCCTCTTCAATCTCCTTAAGAGGCTTTTTGAAATTAGTCAAGCGCTACTTGAAGAAAACGTTATAACCCCATAACCTGCTTATAAGCAGGCAGCTTTAAATTGTTGTACATTGAGTACCCTGATAAAAAATAGCAAAACTTCGCTAAAGTTTTAATAACTGAGAACTCACATGGTTACTTTCATTATACTGTGCTATAGTATCGAAGCGATAAGTGGTAGAATGATAGATTGGAGTGACAATCGGATGCGCCCTTGCCAACGATTTCGCGTGAGATGCTGCGAGCTTCGACTCCAACTGAAGCTCGTCAAAGCTGTCACCAAAGCGCTCACGAGCGCTATTTTCAGCCGGAGGGTTCTCGAACTCACTGAAATATTCTGACTGAACTTCTTCTTACATCACTCAATACTTTGTGCGCGATTGTTGTTGCGCCGTACGATTGCGAGGGCGAGAAAAATTCTTCGGTGTTTACGATGGCACAAAAGTAAATGATAGATTAGCAACCCATGTATGGACAGTGGGCGCTCGACCGTTGTAATAACGCTATCAGTGTTTGGAAAGCAATCAGTATTGGGGAGCGAAATGCAATGGAAACATAAGATTTTAGAGTTCATAAGAGATTTTTTTGAAATTATTTATCAGCTTTTGCAGTAGAGCAAGTACTTTCAGAAGCTGCGTGATCTACAATTTCTTTCATGATTTCTAAGCAAAGCAGAGTAAGCGAAACATGCAAATTAATTTTTCTATGAACGTCTATTTCTAATTACGAAAAGGCTTACCTCATCGTACTGAAAGCCGCTACTTTGTGGCCCGAACTCTACGAAAAGTGCCAGGTAGTCGCATGACTGCTTTGTTATCTCTTCGGCAAGATCGATTGATTAGATTTCGTAAAAATTTATGAATTAGAGGAGTGACCTTTCATCATGGGAGAAATTTATGGTCGCAAATACTGGGTAGTCCGAAAAGTTCGTTCGCACCATCAAAAATTCATAACTTCTTATTTTTGCGAAGGATGCACATAGTTGATCGTTTTGAAGAGAGAGAGATCAATGTGCTTTGCAGAGCTCCTGAATGGCCTATCACACGCATACTAAAATTCGTTTTTTGTGTAAAGAAAAATCTGAAATCCTTAGAAATCTGAAACTCAAAAATTAGATTTGTTAGTATTATAAGTTTCATTGCTTTTCTACGATTTTTAGAAAGTTGCCAAAAAGTTGAATTTATCGTTTTGTATCGCTTGCCCATTTATGATTGATTGTAGAACAAACGCAATAAAATTGTTATGTTCGAAAGAGCAGGTCATAATACCTAAAAAATATGACTCTCCGGTTTCTAAAACAAGTTTCACATTATTAACGACTCAGTTAGGTACGGTACACAGAAAAGTCATGAACTTGAGTAATCTTCATGTGCAACTTATTCTCCGTGTTGTATATGTGATTAAAGGTTAGGTGCTGTTGTAAAGCACATGAATCATTTTCCTAAAAGAATCAACTATGCGCCAATCCTTCCCAAAAAATGAGAAGTTATGAATTTTTGAAGACTGCGAGCGGACTTTCGAGACAACCTAATATGTAGTTCTCTATAAATTCTCCAACTTGAATGCTAAACTAGAGCAACTGCCGCCTTAGCTACAATGTATCTCTTCGCTATCGCTATTCTTGTAGCTATGGTCAAAATAGATTTATTAGCATCTCGGTTTAGTGAAGTGTTTCCACCATATTTTTTATGATAATTTTGCAGAGGATCGCAACAAGCTAATTCTTCTTTAAGTGTGATGATGTAATGCATGAAAGAAAAGAAAAGCTAGTTTTCTTCCTTAGTTCTTAGTCAAAACTTACATAGCGTATGAAACTTTACTCCCTATCGCTCCCCTACCTTTCTCTTATTATTCCTTTTTCGACGTTCTCAATTATCGCTTATTTTAGTTTTCACCAGTTCTGGAAGACCTTCTTAACTATTGATTGTAATTCACTTTTTTCCTGTTTGCGTTGTTTTTCGAATTATGAATTTCAAATTTTACAGAGAGTATTGCTAATATAAGATAAGATGGTAATCTGATGTCATTAGGGCTGGCCCCTCATTCCGTTTTTAATAAAAAGATCTAGCCGCTTTCTTACATACTCCGTGCGAAAAAAAACCTTAAACTGACAATCACATGCGTTCAAAAAAGAAAATTACAGGAAAAAGAATGGTATGAAACTTAAGTCACTTTCTCAGTCACTGTGTAAATTGATACCATTGATAGGAAGGCCTAGAGAAATAAATAGAATGGTAGTAAGGACTGAGTAAATTACCCGATAACAGTTATCAGACGTTTCGAGTTATAAAAAATATTTCTCAAAGCCCAGCATCCCAAATCAATTAAAACGGAATACATAACATCAGATGCCTTCTGTCGCTTCGCGATGCAGAGACGCTCCTCGGAACAGTTGCCGGGGCGCTGATGCTGCTTTTATCTGTCGCGCCTTTTGTAGCTGCTGCAGGACCACCTCCGGCTGGGAACGATGTCAATTCGAGGGGTATATAAGGCTGAGCAGAATCCAGTCTGTGCCTCATCAACCTTCGTCTTATCGATTGTCTTCGGTTGTCACTTGGCCTCGATTCTAGCAGCTCCCGCAGAAGAGGATCTTCATGTTTGGATGTTGAGCCTTTGGTCATTCTTATGTGTTGTACGCGCTTGAGCGCTGGAAAGTATCCTGTATTAGTAAACGAACAAGGTTGCCGGAATGGAGCTGGGGTCGCTCCCATTCGTGGGCCCGGGCCTAGCGGCGGTCCTGTGGAATAACCCCACATATTTTCAGAGTGAGCCAAATTAGCATCGGTAGCACGCGGATCCGCGGCTCGCGCGTTGATATTCCGGTGTTCTCTTTTACTCTCTAGTATTTTAGGAATAGTTTAGCATTTGTTGTATATATTTGTATTGTTGTATATATTTTGTTATTCGTCCATAAACTTAATCAATACGCGCGTTGGTCATAGTAGTAGGATTGGTGATCGCGTCGAGTGGACGCGCAGAAGGGCCCGTCGGTGGTGGACACGTTAGATCCTAGGGCTGGGAGTGGTTATGTTTGGTAGTCGTACGACGCTAGAGTACTGAGCATGTCGGAGCCGCAACACCATTTTTATGAGCTGATCAAAAATTTATCTTCTATATTTCCTGTGCAGTTCTCTAGAAGAAGTCGAATTTGTGAAGTTATCAAGATGCAAACTGGGCTTTGAAAACCAGTTTGGGATTGCATTGCTAGCATGACAGTGAGTATACCTTCTATCGAGTCATTAAATTGTTCATTTGAATCAGGGAAAATGAAGGATTAACAAAAATTACCAGGTTATTTCCAAATAGTCATGTAAACGGGGCGGTAAATCTCATTTACATTTCCTTTGGGGAGGATGTGGTATTCCAAAGTGAAGCTGTTAGGAAGAAAGACGAGTTTATTATAAAAGCGCTGGTGTCCGGATTTGGAGTAGGAGTAGAAGAAAGAAGAGGGAGGGGGAGGGGGAGTGAAGAAAGCAAAAAAATGAGTGAGGCTGAGTCTTTCTCGCTTCGGTCTAAATAGTCACTATGCTAAACATCGGCGTAAGCGGGCCGGGATAGCGAGCTAGTAAGGAATAAGCATGTTTACCGGAAACATAGTTAAGTGTTTCTAAACAACTAACTCGAAGGTGTGGCACTGAGTGTTTGACATATTTAGACAAACGCTCATAAATTCTTTTAAAGAAGAGCCGCGCAGCAGATACGAAGTTTGGAATCAACTCAACAGGATGCCTAATGATGTGCATTTTGTTTCAGATCGCTTATGATATCCTTCCTTAGCCAGCTTCTTAGATTTTGGACTTTTAACACAAGCGGAATGGCTTTTGAAAGCGACAAAATTCATGAGTAGTTTGATTAGCATTCAATAGACTGACTGTTGCTTCAAAACAATTTGCGTGAAACTCTCCCACATTGTGTTTAAAGTGATCTAGGATCTACTCTAAAATTCTTCAAGTCAACAATTCTTCAACCAGTTGTACAAATAGTGTGATAAAATTCTAAAAGGCAAAGTTGAAAACATAGTGAACTTCATTTAAACGTCGGCTACTCAGGAAGATTGTTGTGCTTATAGAAGGAAACTCAAGAGCCTTAGAAGATGGTGCGTTGCTAATCACCTGCATTGGCGGTGGTGGAATTGAGGTAATAGTAAGCTTACCGGCGAACGACGTACTATGGTCGTCGTCAATTGGGCTACTGCTTTCAGCCCCACCAGCAGCTTCACTGAAAGACATTTTGTACATTTCTAATAAGGAAAGCTACCTAACTTAGCTCGGCCTTTCGAAAAGGGACATATGCTCGAGTCATTTGTAACTTAATATGCGTATTGCACACCATACGCGCTATTTGACGAACTTAGAAAATTGGAACCTGCTTATTTCAGCGACTTCGCCTTGTTTCTTTGCCTTAATTTGAAAGGATATTAATTAGTCAGTAGTATACACTTCTACACTTTGTTACGCTAGAAAAGATTTGATCGAGAAGTTAATGCTAAGGGTGCCGTCCGTTGAAACGCTTTGTGTGCAGGCTCACTTATTGAGCTACGAATGACTCGACGATATATAGCCTGAATCAGCTTCAAACGCTGATTCTAAATATGCTATTCCTAACTGCCACGCACCATTTCGAAGCGAGTTATGGGCTTCTTTCTACGCAAAATTGCCATACTATTGAACATTAGAAGACTGAGATAAAAATCTGCAAGAAAAAGGTGCTGAGGTATCGAAATAGTACGAATTCAATTTTTTTCTCACTAAAAAAAGCTAAACGCAGGTGTGTCAGCGATTAAATGATGATGACGTGATGCCCGTCAGTCCATGAGCATGCCAATTTTGCGCAGGAAAATGCCCACAACTCGCTTATGGTGCGTGGCAGCTAGAAATAGCATATTTGGAATCAGCGTTTGAAGCTGATTCAGGCTATGTATGTCCCTTTTCAAAAGGCCGAGCTAAGTTAGCTAGCTTCCCTTGTGAGTAGCAGATGGAATTGAAAATCAAGCAGATTGAGAAATCCATGAACTGGCCATAAGCTAGCTAAAGCTTCTTCACGTGCGCATACAAACTATTTCGAGTCGATTAACAAACGATTTTTTACCAACGTGTTTGCTCGAGTACTCGACATTAATGAATTAGGCTTTTCTCAGTATAGCAGACTTATGGGTACAGGAGATTTCAATTTGAGCGTCACAGTGGGCGCGGCTTGGGTCCTCGCAACCGCCACGCTTGAGCCACTGGACGCGTCCGCCAACGCGTCTCGGGACATTTTCCCAGTCTTACCGGCCATGAATGCCTAAAGCCCCGGACAGAGTTCAAGCGACATCGTCGATATTAATCGCGACAAGACATCTATAGAAATGTCATTGCATCAATCTTCTTGCATTTTGACTATAGTTTTCCAACACGACTAATCGTGACTATCTATCACAACCGAAATGCAAGAAGTTCGGCATGAAATGAACTCATAACAACATTCTCGCGATAATTGCGACGATGAAATTGCGTGAACTTTGCCCGAGGCCTTAGATTGGAATCTCCTGTAAATCTTGCCAGTTCGCAATGCAAACAAACTGGAACGACCACTCTCAAATCTTGGTTTCTATTACTTACTTAGGTACTTAGATGGCCCGTCCTCACGTGACGTGCGGACCCCAGTACAGAAGCTTCCATTGATCCCTGTTCTCGCTTCGGACATCCACAATCTTCTTGGCTATCGTCGGTGGCTGCGTCCACGAGTTCCAGGGGCGAAAATCGTATCCAGCTGATTTCTCAGCTGGTCCATCCGTTCCACGAACACGTCTGCCCATCTTGTTGGTGGTCTGCCTCGGGGAAGTTTGGCTTCGCGAGTCATCCACTCAGACGTTCTTAGTGTCCACATGTCGTCTGCTCTTCTCATGATGTGACCGACCCATCGATGTTTTGCTTTCGCAACGTATTCCGCTGGGTCACGAAGACGGGACATTCTTCTCATATCCGTACTGCGAAGTCCGAATAGATATTGCTTGCGTCGGCCATCTTCAGAAGACTGCGCTCGAGCGCTCTGTGGGTGGTCCGTAAAGCTTTCGACGTGGCTACGGTGTCGGCTCAAATCAAAGCTGCGTGACAAAGCGCTGGAAGAACTTGAGTCGAACAGGTGGGCACGAAGTTCTGGGTCCGTCAGTTGGTCAGTGGCTTTTTTCAGAGGCCCGAAGGCGGCCCAGGCTGCTCCTCTTCTCCTGTTGAGTTCTTCCCTCATGTCGTGCTCATGTTCATCGAACGTCCGAGATACACGTAAGAAGACGTCTCCATAATAGGGGTGCCTTCCATCCATTTCTGCATCTTCGCAAAGGGCGTTCTTCATGAACTGAGTCTTCTTCCGATTTATTCGCAGTCCTATCTTCTTCCCTGCTTCGTTTAGTTCCTCCAGCATCGTCTCTGCTTCAGTGATACTGCTCGAAAAGAGAACGATGTCGTCCGCAAAACGAAGGTTCGATAGGAATCTCCCATCAATCCGTAGAATCTCCCATCAGCAAGTATGCCTCTCTCGTCCCAGTCCAGTGACCTCATCACCCACTGTAAGGCCGCGGTGAACAGCTTCGGCGAAATCGTGTCGCCTTGTCGGACCCCCTTCCCAATTGAATGACAGGGGGCGATGGAATAGCTGCATCGTCGTTGTAAAGTCCTTATAGCAGTCAGCTAACGTCCTCATAAGCTGGGTCCACTCCTTGAACGACTAGCGCAGACAGGATGGACGCTGTCAAAGGCTTTCTCGTAGTCGACGAAGGTTAGGACGAGAGGCAGTCGGTATTCCCGGCAGACTTCTATGACCCTCGAAACCGCCTAAATGTGGTCCATGCAGCTGATTCCTTTGCGAAATCCAGCTTGTTCTTGGGGTTTGGCTTCATCCTGTGTCCTAGATATGCGAGCGAGGATAATCTTCGTGAAGAGATTGTACAGCACACTCAGCAGGCATATTGGACGGTAGTTTCGAAGTTCCTCCCGTTCACCCTTCTTGAAGAGAAGGACGGTTCTTGACGTTTTTCACTGGTCGGGAATCCTCCTCCTTCTGAAGGTAAGATGTCAGGTGCGACTCGAGATTCTCGTGTAGATGATGTTGTCCTCCGGCTCGCAGAAATTCGACGGAAAGATGGTCTGGTCCTGGAGCCGTGGATGTCTTCATGGTCTGAATCGCTGTGCGCACTTCAGCAGGTAGAATTCTTGGTGGTATTTACCAATGGGAACGCACCGGCACGGGTGTTGATGAGCGGAAGAGGTTGGTGTAAAAGTTCTTCGCGATAGATTCCATCTTGTATCGGAAAGAAGTCGGAGTCCCGTCTTCGTTCAATAATGCGGCAAGCGGTACGTGATGTCCCTGATGTCACAGAGGTCCCTTCGGCACTTCTTGAGACTTCGTCTTCTTTCGGGTGCTTCCAGTATCTTGGCTTGCCCGTAATTCCTGAGATCCTCCTGCAAAGCTGTTTTGCAACTGGCGTTGGCTATCAGTCGCTTGAGATGGGTTGCGTTCGGATCCTGCCTCAGAAATCTTCTTCTTTCGAGCAATTCCTTAGTGGTCTTCGAAATGCGCTCCAAGTTCTTATCAGAAGTCAGTGAGGCGCACTCTTCGCAGGCTCGCAATCCTTTCAGAAGCCGGTCATAGTCGTACGTTGGTCCCATGTCCACCGGCGATGTTCTTTCTTCATGAAGATGGAATTACCATGGAAGAGTCGTGTGGCTGAGAGAGGCCCAACAAGACGGTTGCAGTTTTCGTTCTGGAGCCCATATCCAAACTTCTCCATCCTATATTCCTTCTCTAGTGGCATCCCGATTTTCGCAATGAAATCGCCCGAAACATAATTGTAGGACTTTTCGTTGCGGACGACCTCCTCCGCGTCTTCATAGAAAGCATCTAGTTCTGAGTCGTCAGCTGCTGATGTTGGAGAGTAGCAGTTGATGATGCTGATGGTCTTTTGACTGAAGGGCGTAGTCGTAGGATGGCTAGTTGGGGTGATAGGATCTCGTGTGAATCGACAAGATGGAGATCGATGGGTGGACGACAAAGCCAACGCTTCCCACCTTTCGTGATGGAACCTTCTCACCAAGAATAATGAGCGTCCCATCATTCATTTGTCGCACGTCCTTTTTCCTAGACTTCGTCCCCAGAGCGATGATGTGGTACTTAATGTGCTCCGCAGCGTTGAGAAGAGCGTGGAGACTGTCCTGGCGTTATATATGCAGAGCATGAGGCAGTCTCCATGGCGTATCGTCCAGGCAGCCGTGTCGTTTCCAATCCGAAAGGCGCTCTGAGTACCCTGACATCGTTCTTGCTACCACCAGGCGCCGAGGTGGGATCCGATGTACAGGGTTTTTTTATTCTTCTAACGTAGAGTAATTAGAGTTGTTCCCCTAAGCAGACTTACTAGTCCTACTCTTGATTTCCACGGGGCGATCGCTGAATTCGGGCTTGGAGCGGGGAGAACCGCCTCGCGACCAGAAAACCACACGGCGGTGGATCTGGCCTGGCCGGCTCTTAGCTGGGCATCCGGCCGAAACCGGAAATGTCAAACTCCTTCACAGCTTAGGATGCTCTGCCAGAGTATACACTCGGCTGTGCATCGCAGTTCGACACTCAGTGTCACCCCCACGCTACGATGAGGCGGCCGATCATTGTGGTTTCCATTACATAAAGTGAATCTACATCAGCTCACTTTTCATCAAGTTGATTGAAGCGGTCTCGGAATATATGCGCATACTGTAGAGTTCGGTTTGCAACACTCTTCTCAAAGACAGCTCCTATGCAAAATACAAGTTAGCAAGAGTTTGTTACTAAGCTTTCGACTCATACCCAGACAAAAGTGTTTACGGGTAAAACAGCTTTTAGAGGGAGAAGAATCATCGCTCACAAATACTCTTCCTACCTGGTTATACCCAAAGTCGGAGATTCGTGACGTGAGGTGCGAACGCTTTGCAAAATTGTCTCAGTGGGGTTTTTTGCATGAAAAACCCACTTATTCGCCGCGTGCAAGCCCCAGCACAAAAGTTGATTGTTCCCTGCTCGCTTCCGGCATCCATGATCCTTTTGTCGACGGTGGCTACGACGGCAAGGGAAGTGCTAGTTTGGTGCAAAAGCTGTATCCAGCTATTTTCCACTCCGTCTATGGCTCTAAATGCAGGTCTGCCCATCTCGTTGGTGGTCTACCACGGTGATGTTATGCTTCGCGGAAAATTTTAATAATCACAATTTCTATTTGTCATCTCCTCTTATGATGTGACTGGCCCTTTGGTGCTGCGCTTTCGCGACGTACTGCGCTGAATCATGAAGAAAGGACATTTTCGTCGTAACCGTACTGCGAGGTTCGACGTTGCTTTTGTCGAGTGTTCTTGAGCAGAATACTTTTAAGCGCTTGGTATTTTCTAGCTCTCAACGTGGCTGCAGTATTTGCTCAATTTTCAGCTACGCAAGATTTGGAAATACGCTCAAAGGCACCGCCTACCCAGATTCTCGACTTCCAGATTTATGTCGTTTCAGGGCCTTCTCATGTTCCTGACTCCGAATATGAAGTCAAGAAACCGCGAAAACCCCGACAATTCCCATTCCGGAGAACCCACAGGCCGGCTTCTTGGGACGGTGATTGAATAAGCGCGCACAAATGGGCGGGCATGGATGAGGTTCCTCTGCATCTTCGTTATTCCGGAGCGATTTTCTCGCTTCCGGAGCGACATTTTGCGCCGCGACTTGGGCCTTGGTTTGCAAGGGTTGGTAGGGGGGCCCTACTATCATAAGCTGCCAAAAGCTCAAAACCCCCAATTGAGGATGGACGATGCCTTAAGTCGAAAAGGCTGAGTCAAAGGGGGCCCGTTAGCTGATCAATGGCTTTCTTTAGAGACTTGAAGGTTATCGATGCTGTTCTTCTATTGCTGAGTTCTTTCCTTAAATAGTTCCTTGAGTTCATTGAAGGTTCACACTGCTGGAAGAGGTATTTGTAATGGGATGCCAAGCCTCGTATAACCACAAAAGTCGTAAAAATATCGGTACTATTCTTTACTCTTAGACATACAGGGTGTCCCAAAAGTATGTATCTGTGTGCCCCAGAAAGGTTCATGTAAACCAGCGTGCGTATGTGGTGCGACGGTGCCTTTCGTTTTTTGACACGTTTCTTCTGAGATTTCAACGGAACTGCATTAACACGTACAAAGAGCGAAAGGCAGCGAGATGACGTGGTACCTGTGTGGGAATCTTGCTGGGGAACAAACAATAAACACAATTTGATCGTTATACCTCTCTTCCCGTGAGCTCTCTTGCCTTCGTTTGGGTACCATTCTGTAGAACGAGGTTCAGCTTAGGTTTACAGTATGGTGTAAATCACTGATCGCTTCTCATTACTGTGGGATTACAGTAGGAGCTTCCAGTATACAGCGTCGTTGTGGATTAAGTTTCGAAAAAAAGTTTCCAAAAAATTCCAAAGGTGGTGCATCAGGGTTTCCACGCTTGCTAGTTTCATTGTTCAATTTTTTACGAGTTTGTAAAGCTTTTCAGAGAGTGTAATCACAATTTTAGCTCTGTAAAAGTGCCATTGCGGTTTACCCGGCATAACTTATGAATGAACCATTCGATGAAGTACAAACTTGATGATTAGCTTTAGCGGCTCGCACTTAGACTAGTGTAAGAGTTTTCAAGCTGTTTAGTTCGCCTACTAAGGCGCAATAGGGTCCCCAATGGCTCAGAAATCTTCTTGAAGTTTCTACCGTAATCCCACACTAATGAAGAGCGGTCGCTCAATCGCTCCATACTATTTTTCAGAGGCATTGCTAACGCCACGCACATTTATCGGAAAATTTTTTTTGCCCCCCCCCCCCCACCCCCGAGCAGAAGTCCTGGGTACGCCACTGCTGTGGAGGTATGAAAAGTAGCGCTGCCTACAAAAAGTTGGCATGAGTAGTTTCCGTATATTGCTTTCGGTGAATGTTTTGATACGCGATTTTACACGCGGAATATTCGATCAGAGGAGTTTAATCCCTGAAATATCGTTAGAATCGAGGTTGTTGATGAGTTGAAAAGCAGACAAGTGCAAATAAAAACAAAATCACTGCCAAATAATTTTTTCCTATAAAATAGCTTTCAATGAACGTTTGGACAAATTCTCGAAGGAACACAGTGATATAAGGAAAAGGTAAAGAAAAACTTTACGGTTAAACCCAGACTCTGAGCTATTTTGTACTCCGCGCGTTAATCCGTTGGATAATGACTATGTGCAAATGCGTATATCACTTCTCCGTTCCGCGTCGATACAGAAACATCAGAGTAGAAAGGCACCTCAAGCGAAGCTTGTGGCGATTTTTGCTTAATCCTAGTCTTACGCCGATACCGATGCACTTTATGGAAAGGATAACGTTGAAGACGCGTATAAAGCGCTAAAGACGGTACCTTAGCTAACGATATGCAAACGTATGCGCACAAAATTGTTCTTTGTAGAAGTATGAGGGAGGAGATAAGAGTCCGGATTTGCTATGGCGTCTGGCAAGAGCAGCTTTGGAGACTGCTCAACTAGATGCAAATCGCCCAAAAAGAGGAGATTTACTGAAGGAAGGTGCATTTTAATCTTGAAGCCTTTTTCTATTGAAACAAGCTAGTTGCTTCAGCTAGAGACTATGCTGTAGAAGGAGCAACCGCTAAGGAAGATCAAGACACCCTTACATGGGCAGCTGTAGCTAGCTCGTACTACAGCGACTGTCTTTCAGCTAAAAATAGAATTGTGGAGTATCAAAAGATGATAGTTAGTGTAGAAAATATTCGTAAAAATATTGAAAATATTCTTTCTTTCTAGGCGTATACAAGCAAAGGGCTAGAACTGAAGCCAAATGATCACATCTTATTGTTTGTCAAAGGAAGAACTGTCTTTGAATTTTGTTCTCTAAACTCGATAGAGAAGAAGGTAAGGAGGATGGTGTATACATTTCATATCGCCATCTTCCATTACAGGCTATGGCTATAGTGTTTAACACCACTGGAAATGAGCCAGCGCCATCAATCTCAAGCGCACAGTCAATTTTCCTACAGTCCTATGGAGCCTGTGCTACTTACCTGCCCACCTTATACTATTTGGGCATGTGTATGATCTCACTAGGAGACAAAGTGCTTTGGAGTTTTTTTATCTCCTGTTACAATGATAGATGTTCAGGAAAATGCCAAAAAGTACCTCACTGAGGCCACATCGCAGACAGCCGAAGGATGTTATCGCAGCGTACAGGCAGAATGTGCAAATCTGCTGAAACAATGCAAATGAGCATTTGCCAAACTGAACTCTGGTGTAATTTTACTGCAATGTGCTGATAAATCTGAAAAGATGTGCACATATATGTTTATGCTTACAAACTTACCGTTAATTCTAAGTTGCAAGAGTTTAGCGTATAAAGAACCACGCTTTGCAAACGCGACGCCTGCAAACTGAAACGCGTTCTGCAAAAGGCTAGTGCTTGTGGAGCTGAGATTTGAACTTTGCTAAAGGGAATGTCTTTTCGTGAGAGGTCTGAAGGATCGTCTAAAGCACGTTTCTTTCTCGAATCTGCAACTTATCATAAAAAATAACCGAGATAAAGGCCACTTTGCAAATGTCTGGAGTGCGTACCTCTGCTCGCACTATAGCCCCGACAGTACCAGTGAACCACAATCAAACTACCAATGTCTTCTGGGAAGACGGACAGGACAAATTTGAAATCGTCAATTTGAAGATGCATACCTGTGTGTTGGCATTGCTGAAGATGGTGTCGTTGGATCAAAGCAGGAGATAAACGCCAAACTTTCCAAAAAGATTTAGATATAAACTGATAACGTCTTCATGTGCTGGTTTGCTAATCTTTATGCATTGATAGCGACGTTGTCAGCCTTTTGTATAACTGAAGATTAAGGTGGCAGAGTAATTGAACTGAGGTGTGTCTCTTCTCAGTAGGGTCTCATAAGTCAAGCGTTGATGGCTGCTGTATTCTCAACAACCGCGATCCGGTTGTTTCCCACGTTATCCTCGATCTTCTTACCATCATTCTGAATACAAACAGGGTAGTGATGACTTTCGAAGTCGTTATTCCTTGTAAACGGTTTCCTGGCTCCCAAAGTTATTTTTTTCCAATTACTTAGTTGAAATGTAGATCAACTGCTTAGTCGAGCTGTTATATATCTTCAGAGAAGCTTTTTTTGGCCTGAGGATATCCATACCTTTTCCTTTTTTGAAATCTGTGTTGTGTAGGTTCTACAGTTTCACAGCTGCTTGGAAATTTACCCCTACTACTAAATGCTCAGCGTGAGCGCCAAGGGTGAAATGCGAGTTTTTGTCGTCGGAGAGAACCCGATAACCTAAACGCACAAAACTCAAACTTTTGCTTTCAACCTCCTTCTGCGTTATCGTTATAAACTCAAACAAAGTATGAAATTTTCTTAGAAAATGAGAGAGAAATCGTATCGTATCTCCGCGAATGTCCACAAAATGCATCTTGCCATTATACGTATAGGCTGCTGCATGACGAAGGCGCAATATCTTTGGGCACGAACGCCCTTTATTAGCCGCAGAGCGCAGGAGGCGCAGGATTTAAAACGGTGTACGCGCGCCTCGTTCGCTCCCGCTCAATCAATACCGCTTTTGCGCCTTCGTCATGCAGTAGCCTTTGAGTTCTACAGCGTGGTAACAAGGTTAGACAGTTCCAAAACAGCTTACATACCAATCGATACCTTTTTTAGGATCTTGACAGTGACTCATTGTGAGAGAATGAAATTTGTGTGTGTTACCGCGTACACTTCTTGAAGAATGTGGTCAAAGCCATATTTTTGAGACCTCCTGTCAACGGATTGCTTCTAAACGAAAGACGTTTTTAACCCCACTTTGCGCTTTTGAGAGCATCGTAAGAAGAGTTTGAAGTCGGATAGTCGAAGATCTAGAAAATAAATGGAGTTCCGTCGCTTTCAGACTAGCTAAGTATAACTCAAACATAGGCAGAACTCAATATATGTGAAAGGTTCCAAACCAAGGATCTTACAGAAGCTTTCAAAGGCATGCCGCAGCTCGACTAAAGTGATTGCTACTTTGATTGCGTATTCGAAGAAGTAGTTTTGACGCAGGAAAGTGTTGAATTGAAAGGTTGGGTGGAAGCAAGTTTTGGCCATCAGGCATGCTTTCCTCAAATTTTTGACTTCTAGTTTTGGCTAGCTCTGTCTAGAGGACAAGTGGCGTAGTGGTATGAGGCGCCGCTATGACCGTATCGGAACCAGGTTTTCCTCCCCTGAGCCAACCAAGCGTTTTTGGGACGACATTTCACGTCCGTCTCAAAAACGTCAAAGGCCGAATCGACTCTGATGGAACAAGAATTCAAAATTCAAGTGGACGCTCTTGTGGTCATCACATGACCATAGCATCGCTTTACTTCCTACCGCATCCGCAGGTGATAAGTCCCATGTAATTCAACCCAACCTTCTGGAATGGTGTTGATCTTACTATTCTCTTTGCTATCCCCATGTCTAACTCCTTTTCAATGCACACCATATCGCGCAATTGATCGCAGCTTCAGTTATCAGTAGTTGGAGATTTTTTTCATCAACTTAGAAAAACTGAAGGTTTGGTGAATAATGATGCATGTATAAGGGTTGAGCCAAACTGCGCGGCATACGCAGATACGCACACGCGCACGAAGATATGGGTGGCGTACACTACGACCCTCGCACAGTCAAGCGTAGTTTCGAGGTAACAATGTCAGCATCATTTTAGGGTGGCTCACCACAATGTAAAGAACACCTCTTACATTGGACCAGACGATCCACGATACCAGCCTTACCTTCCACCCCTAACCTCCTGCACTCTCAAGCTGCAACATCTGTGATTCTTTATTTGAGCACTAGCTAGATCGTTCCAGTCCTTCCCACTGATGGCAGAATCAAGACACTTGAGTTAAAGTGAACACATCGCACGGATTTAGTACTGGAGTTGTTCGAGCTTCCGGCTTAAAGCACTAGGCTCGTGAAATCACTCCACTTGCGAATGTGCGTTTCTAGATCACTTCCATAGGTACTTCTGCGCGAAGAGAACTTGCGCTCGCGGCGCTTCGCACTTTAAATTCCACTCCTTTCTTTTCTTGTTTCGGTATTCGAAGTTCGTTATCAACGACGCTGCACGAATCTTGTTGACTGAGTATTTTTCTGCGCGTAATTAGCTCGAAAATGCAAACTGGATGACATCTTCGCTCTTAGACAATGTTAGACATCACGTAAGCAAGACTTTCTTGACTTTACTGTGTTGAGCCCTCCCTCCTTACTGAGGACTGGAGTACTCCATCTATTTTTATTGAGTCGCAATTTTTCTGTCTAAGCGAAAGAATATCACATACTTGTCGTTTTTTGCTAATGCTACCCTCTTCTAGACTTCTCATTCTCGTTTAGAAATTTGCACACGGCAATGTTCAATGTTCACCATGTTCATTTCAAGAAACTCTGCAATGAGGTTCAGCCAGACTGCACGACGTACGCAGCGTACGCCCATTTCTATGCGCGTGTGCGTACATCGCGTACGTCTCGCAGTCTGGCTTAACCCTGATTGTTCAGCAGAGTCCATTGGCGAACAATCGCCCAAACACTGATAAGCCACAACCAGTGGTCCATTGTTTGAGGTACCACTGCTTCCTATTTATCAGTAAAAAAATGGAAATATAGATACTTGTCAGAGGTAGGGATTGTATCTGTTTTTTAGTGTATGCAGCTCGACGCTCGACGTAGTTTCCTATAGGCCATACTGCAGACGATTATCGCTGGACAGGCTTTCTTCAATTATTAAGGTACTAGTCTAACATTCCTTATCTTCGAATATGCGCTGTCTCACTAACAGTTATCGTTCCTGCGCGCAACTCTTAGCAAAAGCTTCCACTCTGCTAACAAACCGTTTGAATGAGACAGTACTGTTGAGCACAAGTAAAACACGCGACACTTGCGCACACACACTTCAACTACTTTTGTTCGTTGGCTATCATACTGGGTGGGGAAGGGGGGGGGGGTTAGATATGTTGTAAAAAATTCTTTCGTTTACTTTCCAGTGGAGGTTTCAAGTGCGAAGTCATTTTATACATAAGCATGCACCTTTTACGTCGTATTGCTACCGAACTGCCGGTACTCTTCTACTACAAATACAATGAATCCGTTTCTTCTCAGTCTGCTACTGCTCGTCATCACCTTTCTGAGAGGATGCGTAAGTTTCGTCAGTTAAGCTCTCCTCTGCTATGCTGTTGGTCTCTTACTTGACATTTGTGCATCCTCTCTCCTTGCAAAATCAGGCTGATGTAAGCGACACAGGTACATTGCCATTTATTCCACTGCCCTTGCTCTGATCTAATCCTTTTTTCTACTTGTATAGCAGTTTTACCCTCTTACCGTTGCCAGTCATATTCATTATATTACCATAATTAGTCAGATGTCCTTTATTTGGCTCCAGCACCCTTCCTTAGGACTGAATGTGCAGTGGAGCGGTAGCACTACATCTGAATTTCATCTGCTAGTTTAACGCTTCCTTAAATTTCTTAGAATGATATTGCATTGAAAAAAGTCATCACAATAAAAAAAACCGGCTTTAGTTTCGCTATCACTCCCCAACACTTTCGAGACGAAGCACTCAAGTATTCCTTCCGCTTAAGCTTGAGACGAACCTTTTTAAGCTGGCTGCGTGTAAGATGCATCATCCATAAACGTATTTCCCTGCACAATTCTTCATGTGAGAGTTGTGCTACAGCCACTTTTCAAATATTTTACGTTTTATCAGTTCATCCTAGAATTCTTGGGCTCAAGTAGTGCTGTTATATCATCAGATAAAGCCATGTTTTTCCAGCACTTGCCCATTCTACAAAATGTGAGTTTCTGACGAGGATTCATCCAGAAGACCGTTGCTTCGTTCTCTACTATTTACAACTATCGAGAGTTCTGGACGTGGTAGGTAGCAGAAAAAACCCTGACCGAAGCGGTGCTGCTATGTCATCTGCTAGGGCATACGAGCTTCCAGCACCTATCCAGTTTTGTTATTGAGTCGTTTCAAACGAAACGTAAACTTTTTGGAAACCAGCCGCGTTTCAAATAAAGAATGTCTTGTGAAAGGCAAAACGCAAAAAAAAAACAGCCATGTTCTGAGTCGGAAACAGGGCCCAGCACGAGGTGAACAGATGGTGGAAAAAGCAAGGGGGAAATCGTTTTTGAGGAGTTCGAGGCGGAGCCCCGCAAGAAGATTCTAAGTGGAAGCAGAAGAAGATCGAATCATGCTTATTACCTTATACATTTGATTCATAGGGAAGTAGTTTTCATAAGCTTCAACGCACA